AGGATTGCCACAGGAGTACTCCTCGAACCGGTACGAGCAGTCCCACAAGACAACAGTGAAGCGCCCTTCTCGCGGCACCAACTGGAAGGGTGTGGAGGATCGCATTGTGAAGAAGCATATCGAGCAAGCCGTTGTTCGACAGCTGTCTCGGGCCTCCGGCGGCGACAAAACATACGAGACAGCCATGAAGGAGGTGAGCCTGTGTACGACCCAGACCCGATCTTGCCCATCCAATTGTCCCCGCCTGCTCCCGCTGCATGATACATACCATAACCTCGTGTTTTTGTTCGAACCCTGACTCTTCCCTTGATCCCCGGTGGTCTCTCCTCTCGCTACTCCGAACCTTAGGCATCCCGTTCTGCACCCCCATGCTTCCACACTTGTTTACTAGTGGACCTTCCTCCGGCTACCGGCCTCGACATCCCGTTCTGCCCCCTCATGCTCCGCATGTCGTCCACCCAAACCCTTCCTCCCGCTGCCCCCTTAGACATCCCTTATTGCATCCACGTGCTCACTATCGTGTCCACCCATGAAATGCCTCACCCGGTGTCCCCCTTGACATCCCGTTTTGCATCTACATGGTCACCATCTTGTCAACCCATCGCTCCTACCACTAGCTGCCACCCTTCACATTCCGTCTTGCCCCATCTCCTCCCCCACTTATCCACCCATGCCCCTCCCCCGGCCCCCGTGGGGCTTTCCTTCGTTCTGAACCCCAATGCTGCCCTACTAGTCCACCATATACCTTCGTGCTGCAAAACACGTCGCCCCCTCGTTCCCCCCCCCCCCCCTAAACCCATTTGACCATCCCCAACACTTCCCATTCCCTCCTGTCCGTTGTCTTTCCTTTGCTGAGTCTTGATCTACACTTGTCCACCTATGCTTCCTCCTCTTGCTGCACCCTTTGACCTCTGGAACTGCCCCACTGTACTAAACCGGCTGATCCCTAATCTTTGCTCCTTGTCACTGCTGGCCCCGTTGTACTCAAGTGCTGCCCGTCCCCTGCTGCCCCCCCTGTACACCATGCACCCATCACCCTCCTACCCAGGCTTGCACGCTTGGGCGTCGGGTGCTGACCAAGACACACAAGAAGATGACCGTGGGGCAAATCACGGATGATGTGTTCAGGAGCTATGTCCTTGTTCACGGAGATGAAGCGATGGGCTGCTTGAAGAAGCGGCTGGCCATGGAGGGAATCCGCGACCAAGTACTCAATGTGAGAATCAATGCAGGGGTCTTTGCTATGCAAACTGCCACTGCCACGTATGCCTGGTAAACGCGGGCAGCATTGTTGTAATGGGCCCAACCTGGCCATGTCATCCTGTTGTATCAACGCACCCGTCAGCACCGCATCTCTAGAAATTCTCAAACAACCTTCCGTTGTTGTGCTGCGATCCCTGTTTGCCTACTCGCAGGTGCACACTGCCATGGCAATCCCACCGCACGACAGGATGGAGTGGACCGAGAAGGGGCAATTTGTCAAAGCAAGCCCTTCCGAAAGGCAATTTTCAGATGTAGCCATAAATCCAGCTTGCAAGGGGGCCAACTGGTACGGCCGCTGCTTGATGCTGTTCCATTACGTAAAAGATGGCGTGGCAAAGAAGGCCGCGTACATCGAGTACTACACGGAGGATCGGCGTGTCTGCCGGTACACTGGCTGCAAACGACTGTTGCCCACGAAGGGCACCAACAACTATGCAGTTGTAGATGCAGATTGCATCCTAAGCATCGTGCATGTTGTCCCGTGCTGCAAAGACTCTGATGTGAAGCTGCTCAATAGGTTCATTTGGTAATGCATATTAAATTGACTCTATGACGAACAACCATAACATAGTTTGATTATAAAGCACACATTTTATCAACCTTACTATTGTTTCAACAATTAACATTTGACAAGCATTCCATCGAAACATTGGAAAACGATTACTAAAACATCAGCAAAGCATTTGGTCCGGCTAAAATGATATTCAAATGATATACACATGATTTTAGGATGATTGTCAAACGATTTTCGGAAACTTGTTAAAAAAAAACACGTCAGATGATTTCTAGACGCACACATTTTTGTGATGCTCAGCGTGCATAAGTGCAAGGGGTTGGAATTCCAGGTGCGCCAGTGGACCAGTGCAGCGCAGTGCGGTGCAGTGCGGTGCCGAGACGATAAGAGTTGTCTCGTCTGACTACCCATGCATGTTATGTTATGCTCGTTTATGTTGTTCCAAATAGCCTATATCCGCCCTTAATAGTTTCTTGTTCTGAATATTTAGGTATTCAGCTAGATCAACTGCCTCTCCATCCACCTCTTTCCACCCTTCGACCTCTTCCAAACAGGATGCTCTGATCTACAACTTCTTCTCCCACTCACTGCTTGCCTCGGGTTGGCGCCTGCTGTATGAGTACATGCGGCAGCACCACCTCCTACCCTCAACCGCACAAAGGAGCTCCTCCAGTCAGTGGCAGTGCCCTGTGTTTGACCCAAGAAGGTGATGCCAAGAAGGTGTTGTTCAGATGGGTGGTTCTGTCGTGTGCCACCTTTGAGCACGAGCGCACCATCGCAGCGCCGACTGACAAAATAGTAGCTAAGACTAAGAAGCCATAGCTAGGTTTAGGGTACACGAAAGAGAAGTGCAAGCAGTAGAAGAGGAAAGATGATTGAACTAGAAAGAAGCGGAGTACAAATAGCAAGCCCAAAAGGGTTATACTCACTATTGAGTACCCCACTACAGACTAGACAAGCATTATGTTCTGACACACCCCCATAGTCAAGGTGGGGTACAGCCAGCACAACAAGCATTCAGAGCAGTAGATCATAGTGATAAGCAAAGGCTAGAGACTAACACAGAGGGCAAGCGAGGAGGAGGAGAAACTGTGGGGGGCGATCTGCTGCAGGCGACGGGCGAAGCTGCAGACACAACGGGCAACAGGAGCGGCGCGCACAGTGGCTACCGAGCGCACGAGGGCACTGGACTACGGGGGTTATCAGGCTCCGCGGCTACGAGGAGCGGCAGGAGCAACAGACCCACAGGCGACTGGCACAGCAGGCTCGCTGGGCTACCGAGAGCACGAGGGCTCCGGACTACAGGCACTGCAGACGACACGACTGCGACCTCCGCTCACCCCCCCCTGTCAGTCCCACACCCCCCTATCACACACCCCTTTGCTGCATCCCTAGCCCCACTCACACGCCACCCCCACTTAAACCCTAAACCCTCGGCTCCCACACATCCACCCCCCTCAGCGGCAGCTGCAGCAGTGGGAGACGAAGGAGGAGGAGGAGCAGGGGACGGAGCACACAACCAGCACCCCCATACGCGCCACCCCCACACGCGCCACCCCCAAACCCTAACAGAGGCAGCAGCGGCGGGGAGGGGGGGGGCGATCCGTGAGCGATTCGGGGGACGGCGGGCGGCTCCCCAGGGTGCCACGACGAGGCAGCGGGAGGGGGGCGAGCGCGGCTCCCCAGGGCGCCTCGACGGGGCAGCGGGGGTCGCGCGCGCGGCTCCTCAGGGCTCCGTGACGGGGCAGCGGGGTCGCGCGCGGCTCCCCAGGGCGCCGCGACGCGGCTGCGGGGTCGCGCGCGGCTCCCCAGGGCGCCGCGACATGGCTGCGGGGTCGCGCGCGGCTCCCCAGGGCGCCGCGACGTGGCTGCGGGGCCGCGCGCGGCTCCCCAGGGCGCCGCGACGGGGCAGCGGGGGTGACGGGCGGGTCTGCTGCAGGCGACGGGGGGGTGGGGGGGGCGCTTCGACGGAGCAGCGAACCGCCGCGCGACCCGAACGCGCGGCGGGAAGAAAAAACGTCGCGCGCCACGGGGCGCGCGACAGACAGGAAAGCAGCGGAAGCACGTGGGGCCCACAGGCCAAGAGCGGAACCGCTCTGATTCCATGACAAAATAGTAGCTAAGACTAAGAAGCCATAGCTAGGTTTAGGGTACACGAAAGAGAAGTGCAAGCAGTAGAAGAGGAAAGATGATTGAACTAGAAAGAAGCGGAGTACAAATAGCAAGCCCAAAAGGGTTATACTCACTATTGAGTACCCCACTACAGACTATACAAGCATTATGTTCTGACACCGACTCGCGTCACCAGTTGAGGCAGTGGTTTGAAGGCCCTTTATTTCTATGATCCTTCAAATGGGTTGTGCCTTGGGCTTTGATTTTTGGGCGACCTCAGAACGTTTTGAGTTTACCAGAATAAAGGCTCAATCATCGTTGTGTTTTTCAAGTTGGTTGTGTGTGTCGTGTATTTCTGTGCCACCTTGTTTCTCCGTCCACATTGCGTATGCTCGCCCAGTTCCTTTCACTTGGGATTGCACTTAACTTAGTTACCTTATCTTCTCATTTCCGAATCCCCACCCCCTCCCATTTTCCACTTCTTCTCCACCTCGCCCTCTCATCCCAGGCACAACCTGTTGTGCAGTGAGCTGAAGCAGCTGTACGCGGTGCTAACGCGAGCGCGGCAGCGGCTGTGGATCTACGAGGAGGACGAGGCAGCAAGGCAGCCGGCCATGGACCTGTGGGAGGCAATGGGGCTGGTGGTGGTGCGACCACTGACTAACGATCTCATTGCGTCCATGCACACAGAGTCCTCGCCAGAGAAATGGCACAAACGGGGCCTCGAGGTGGGTGGGTGCACGTGCACGTACATGTCGTTACTTACCTGTAGGAAGGGACACACGGTTGTTACTAAGAGCGCGGATCTACCACTTGACGCACGAGAAGAATAGGGATTGTGCGAATTGTTACTCCGTTTTGAAATCGAAATTGTCGCATTGGCAAACTTGGTATAGAATCAATACTTTTGAAACCACATGCGTCAAATGTAGACGGCCGCTTCAAGACTCTCACAGCATCTCAGGATCACCTTATCCTGCCGCAACCCAAGATTCGCAAGCATTGCCCTCCCACATACTCCGTTCTTCTTTCCTCCCTTTCCCTCCCCCAACCCATCTTCTCTCCGTCTTTGTTTCCAACCCATTTTCGTTTTTGCAACCCCTTAATCCAGATGTTCAATGCTGGGCAGTTTGAAGCGGCAAAGATGAGTTTTGAGAGGGCGGGGGACGAGCGCAGAGCAGCAGTGGCACATGCGGCACTGCTGCAGCAGACGGCCAAGAGGCAGCAAGGCACAGATCACCGGCAAGCCTGTCGTACTTTCCAGGAAGCCGCGCAGGCGTTTCTGGAGGTTCAGCGTCCCAGGGACGCTGCAGGGTGCCTCGCCAGCGCTGGGGAGATGAACGAGCAGGTTACACCGGGGGGGCCAAAAGGGGGAGGGGGGAGGGGGTTAGTGTGTGGGGCTGGCAGGGATAGCGTGCCAGTGCTGGAGTGTGTAGATGGACAAAAAATAGAGTTTCTGAGGGGTGGGGGGCTTTGCAGTGTGGGACTGTTTTCTTGACGATGGGGCGACGCCCTCGCCGTTGACTGTCTCTTGTGCACAACCGAACCAACCTCCCGTGCATGCTTGAGTTCCTCATTTTTCCGTTGTCCCTCTCCGGTGCTGGCCTCTGAATAGCAGCAGCAGCAGCAGTACCAGCGCGAGGATTGAGGGAAGTAAGGATGAGGAAGAGGAGAAGGAGGAGGAGGAGGATGTGGGTGAATGCACACGGGTAAACACAGGTGGGAATGGTTGGAGCTGGAAGTCAGAAGTGAGGAAATGGATTGGAAAGGCAGCAGCAGCGAGGGTTGAGAGAGTTGGAAAGGAAGGTCAGCAGAGCAGCAAGGAAAGGAGCAGGAATGCATTGGAGCTGGCCGTTGCCATCTGGCTGACACAGGAGGAGGCATCGGTGTGCAGGGGTACAGGTTCGGTAGCAGCATGTGGAGTAAGGGAAGGGAAGAGAGGATTTGGGAAGGAAGCAGGGTGTCTGGTTCGGAGTGAGCAAGTGGGGAGTGCAGTGCAGGGGGGAGGAGCAGGGGAATGGGAGAGTGAGGTGGACGCAGAGCAGGGGTTGGAGGCTCTGACCTTATTGCTGCTGAGCGAGAGGATTCAACTAAGGGATGACATGGGGGACATAGAAACATTGTGGTGCCGGCTGACGGGTTGGGGAGGGGGGCGAAGCATTGCGGCTGAAGTGCTGTGCAGCTGGAAGGCTCTGGAGCTGAGCCTGGAAAAAGTCAACGCCTTTCTTTTGCACACCTCCTCCCCCTCTTCTGCCCCCTCCCGCACAAGCACTGTTTCCTCACTGCCAGACACGGAGAGTCTCCCTTGCTGGCTCTCAACGCTGCCCCACCGACAGGCAGTGCAAGCTAGCCCAGGAGATTGGTGTATGGGAGGAGTCGGACCACAGGGGATGCAGCAGGTGCAGCAAGGCAAGAGGAGGAGCGAGGAGGTGAAGCATGAGTCTTGCCCAGGCCTGCTCCAGCAGCTGGGGGTGCTGGTGGGGGAGGTGCAGCGCTGGTGGGGTGCGTGGAGCGAGAGGGCTGCGCGAATGGTGGCGGCGTTGCAGCGGCTGCGCAGGAGGAGGGAGGTGCCGGCAGATCAGCCCTGGCTAGATGCAGCCTTCCACTTGCTTGCCGCCACACCCCCCACTGCCTCCGGTACGGCAGGGGGTGTGTCCACTGCAGCCCACACTGCTCCTCCTGCCTTGGGTTCGCCATCTCACTCCATCCTGGTGGGTCTGTCCAGTTCCGCCTGGCTTCTGCCCGTGCGTGCTGCTGTGACCCGCCTGCCCAACCAGGGCACTCGCGGGGAGGTAGCGAAGGAGGCTGCAGCTGAGGTAGGTGGCATCTTCTGGGGCAAGCAGGTAGCGGTGGTGGTGCAAGGCTGCCTGCAGGCCTTGGACATAGCCATGTGCCGGACAACCATGGTGTTGCAGCAGATGGGGCATGGGAATGAACTGCTGCTGCAAGGAGTGGGACAGCTGACAGGTCGGGTGAAGCAGGGAGGATTCAAGATCCAGAAATTTCAACAGCAGCAGCAGAAGGGGAGCGGCAATCGGGACGCAATATTTTGGGCATCGGTACTGCGTCTGCAGTGCGAGTGGCTCGTGCAGTGCCTTGAGATGCTGGAACGAGCCCTGCAGTGCTGCAATGGTGGCAGGAAGGCCTTTCAACGACCCCCCAGTCACTTCGAAACTCGCATCTCCAGTGCTGACCGCGTTGCAGAGAAAGCGGAAAATAACCGAAAGTCGGAGGAGGCACGAGAGCTGGAGGGCACTGCAAGCATGTTGGAGAGGCTGCGGGACAGCCTGGGTCGGCGCCTGCTGCAGCATGTGATGCCGGTGGGCGCTCCCGTTCCGCGTAACTTGGCGCTGCTGACAGCGGAGGTGCGAGCGCAGGAGAGCACTGCCTTGGTGCTGCACTGCTGGGCTCTCAGGCTGCTTGCTCAATGCGTGGATGGGGCCACACGCCAGGAAGCGGTCACGAGGGACAAGGAAGGAGTAATGGGGGGTTCAAATGAATTCGGGTCTGACATGCACGAGCCTGTGCTTTTGGGTCTCTTGGGTGACTTGCTGCTAGTGCTGACGCTGTTGGGCTCCCGATGGGTGCACAGGTATGGCGGGGAGCTGCTGCAAGTGCAGTCCAGCCTGCCTAATGTGGATGCTGCGCTGTTGAGAGCGGTGGTGCATGAAGATGCTGTCCGGTTGTTCCTTGAGCAGCGGCACAGCCATGGCGCTGCAGTCACTCCTGCCAGCACCGAGTGGGCGGCTGCTCTCCTGCAGGCGCTCACTGTGAGTGTTTGTTCACTGTTCACTGTTGTTGTTGTCTCTTGTGCTGCTGCTGTTGTTGTCTCTTGTGCTGCTGCTGCTGCTGCTGCTGCTGCTGCTGCTGCTGCTGCTGCTGCTGCTGCTGCTGCTGCTGCTGCTGCTGCTGCTGCTGCTGCTGCTGCTGCTGCTGCTGCTGCTGTGATTTGTTGTTTGTACTTTCCTGGCCCCTTCACCTTTGTGGCTCTCTCTATCCGCGTTGCTTCTTCCACTCTGCTGCAGAGCGACAACGTGGGGCAACCAGGCGACGAGGCCCCCCTCCCTCTCACTGCTGCTGTGTACGTGCTTGAAAGGGAAGTGACTTACGTGTGTGCAGCCATCACGAAGCTCCGAAACTTCATCATCCCTACCTCCCTTGCTGTTCTCCACCTGGATAACCACCGCGCCTCTGCTGTCTGCACCTTCCTGCTCCAGTCACCACCGTGCAAAATCCCTCCATGCCACGACCATCAGCTTAAAGCCCAGCTGACTTGCCTGCACGGGCTTATCAAGTCCCTTCTTCAGCATCAGGGCGCATTACAGCAGCGGTGGAGGTCCAGCTCTGAGGCTCCTGCGCTATTTCTCCGACTCCTCACCCTCCTCCTTGCTTCATCAGCCAATGTCCCAGCTTTCCACAACAGCACGGCCGCCTTCCTTCGTGACCTTTGGCACTGCAACGGGTCACTGTTGCATCAGCTTCCACACCTGATTCGTAACGAATTGGCGGCCGTTTTTGGTGGAAATCGGCCCAACCCTAATGCATTACACGACCGCTTTTCATGGGCCATGTTCAAACTGGGTGACCCATGGATTGTGCTCTGGAGAAAAGGCTCTCCCTTCATCCAAAGACGCCGATGGCATGCGAAGCTGAGAAGGTTCTATATGGAGAAGAGCCAGGTTCGGAGTGCAACGTCTTCTCTCTTGTCTGGTGCTGCAAATGAGCCCCATTCGCCTCAAGCGAATGTCGGTGAGGAGTGGGTGCCTGGTGCTGATACTAATCCTTCCGAGTGCAGCCTCTTCTCTCTTGTGGACCTGACAGGACGTGAGCGAGCAGGACGCGTTGGTGGAGATGTGATTTCTGACTGGGAGGTGGAGGGTGGGGAGGGGAGAGAGGAAGAGTGGGAGGAGGAAAGGGAGAGTGTTAGAGGGGGGAGATCTGAGGAGTGGGGCGGAGCTGAGGGGTTGTTTGAGGAGCAGGGCCAGGAGGAGCCAGAGGAGGAGGTGGAGGAGGAGAATGTTAATGTTGGGGAAGCGGGGATTGAGGGTGCTGATGCTGCTTCGGGAGAGGAGGGAGGGTTTAAGAGAGGGTGTGAGGACGACGGGGAGGGAGATGAGCGAGAGGAGGTGGACGGAGTGAAGATTGCTGTTCGTGTCACTGCAGCCTTACGGCAGCTCCTTCTAGAGGTAAGCACGCCATAGAGGGGAAGGAAGGACCACAGGGAAGGGAAAGGGGAGTGTGGCTGTAATGTTGGGTGAGGTGTTTGTGATGTAGATGCTCGCCCAGGAATGCAGGGTGCGGATGTGCTGCAGGTGGGGTGGTCGGTCACCGTAAACATTCTACTATGCAGTGTTCATTATGGTAGAATGTGATTCACAGCATTCACTTCCCTCACTAACCTTCTCGGAATACAAATGCACTATGTTACCTCTTTTGGTTACAGCATTTTAAACACACTAACTCCATGGTCCTATTCAGGCATCTTTCTCCTCTCATGGCCGTGTTTTTGAGAGATCAGGCCACGCTTTCTCTCACAACATTCTCCCCCCTCCGCGTCTTGACAGGCTAGGGAACGTCTTCAGCAGGAGTTGACACCACTGGAGAGGAGTCGCAGGGAGGCCAAGAAGGGCCTTACTGTGTTACTGCAGGCGCGCAGCAAGGCTGTTAGGGAGTTTTACATCAAGGAGTATTTGGACCACGCCTCCCCCCTCGAGGTCAGTCAGTGCCACATCAACATTTCTGGTTGCTTAAAAAAAAAAAAAAAAAAAAAAAAAAAAAAGAATGCCAACCTCATTTCCTGCTCTACTTCAGGACCAGAAAATGTAGTGAAACCGCTGTGATGCTCGGCTGCAATGGCAGTTTTTGGCACTGATGTCCATGGCATTTCCCCTTCAATGATATGAAAGCCCATGGCGTGTTCACACTGAAGGGAAAATGCCTGGCGCTGCCAGTATTATGGAAGAGTCTGGCTGCCTGGTGATTGACGGGTTGGTGTTGACCAGCTACCTGACTGCCCTGTCGGCTAGAAGATCAAGGGAAACGTGGACCTAGGCATCAGGAGGGTAACCATAGGTCGCTCTCACTTTTTCCTTCCCCCCCCTTCCTCTCGCATAGCCCTAGGCGTTATGGTCGACACTGACATGCATACAAATGTCTCCTCGCTCCCCACCTTCTCTCCTTTTGTCCTCACCCCTCGTATGTATTCCCTTTCTCTCTCCCCCTCCACACCCCACCCTCTCATTTCCCCTCTTATTGTTTCCCCCTCCCTCCTCCGCCACTTCACTGCGCACCTTCATGCCCCGTTGCCCTGCGCTCCCTCTATGGGCAGGTGAAAACATCAGCGTTTCTTGCCCTCGTGCACAGTGCTGTGCTAGCCATGAAGGCTCGCCTCAGCACAGTGCATGTGTCTTCATCGGAGGAGCAGGTTGAGAGGGATGAGCAGTTGCTGGACGCGGCAACAGATGCTGCGGAGGAGCTCGAGGCTGCTGTGGCTGTGCTGAACCACGCGTATGTGGAACCACAAGATGTAGCCTTTCTTGCTTGCATTTCTACTGTGTTTTTTTTCCACAAGATGCTGCTATGGTGCATTTTTGCCGCGTCGAAGCAGTCTCAGCCTGCTCGTCACTACAGCTGGTTTCTCTCTCTTGTCTGTGCTCACATCTGCCAGCCTTTGCACTGCCGACCTTTTTCACTTGTGTGCTGCTACCTCCCTGTGATACAGGCACCCAGGCCACTCATCTGCATCAGTGGCATGGCTACACCGCACAGCCATTCAGCCTCTTTCGACCCTCCTTTCACAAAAACAATGCTACTTGGAGCTCCCTCTAAAGAGAAATCTGCTTTCTCATGATACACAGCCAAGAGCAACTTCATGGAAAGAGTGACAGTGGGGCAAGGAGAAAGATGAATGGCTGCCAAAATGTGGGAAGAGGTGGGGTGGGGTTGGAACTGGGCAGAGACAGTTTTAGATGGGGAGGTGGGGCTACTTCCATGTACTTTCGTCGTATCCATGTTAAACTGAGTTGAACGTTGCATTGCAGTCATTCTTCACTAAAGAAATGTTTCTGTTCGATCGAGTTACTAAAACTTGTTGGGCTGAGAAAAGCCCTTAGGACAGTTTCAAGGTTAATTGCGGAATGTAGGAATGTTGTAATTGCGGAATGTAGGAATGTTGTAATTGCGGAATTGTTGAACTACCTTGCACTAGTGTGTGAAAGCAAGATAGATTGATTATAGCAAAGTAGTACAAGCTTTTATATGATTAGAGGGAATATGAAAGGATGCAAATAACTGCTTTTGCTGTTGCTGTTGCGGTTCGATACAGCGACGACTCGGGCAACTGCTCAATATCGAGTCAGTTGTGTGTCCTTGCTGTCGCGCTGCCTTCTGGTGAGTCAAATGTCGCTGAACTTTGACCTTCGCTTAACCTCCAGCTGTTACGTTTTCTGTCAACCTCCTCGGTTGACTCGCCGCTGCTTCGCTGTAATTCGCCTCGTTTGCAGCTCGACGTTTCGACACATCAGAAGCGTCAATTAGTTGTTTCCAACAAAACTGAGCATAGCATCTATTCGATAGATCTTGTACAGTGCTGGCTGGTGTAGCATGTATTTCCAACAATCCTCTCCGTGCGGCGACGCGAAAGTACCCCTCCATTGCTGCTCCTCCCCATGCACATTGTCCATTAAGCTCCTTGTTTGTCACACCACTCATCTTACTGCACTTCCTGCTCGCCCCTCATCTGCCTTCCGGCTCGCCTCAAATGCGCATGGGCAGTGCTGAGCTAGCGTTTCAGCATTGTCCAGGTGGCGGCCTTACGTGCTGCCAGCCTCTCGGCGATCAGTCTGTCCTCACTGGAAGGTGAGGGGAGGAGGACGGCAAATGAGGGCAAGGTGAAGTACCTAGAACTTATTATTGTGGCTATAAGCATCATAATTGTACTCACTCAGTCCTATTCTCAGTGCTGCCAGCCTCTCAACGACCGGTCTGTCCTCGCTTGGAGGTGAGGGAACGGTGAAGCGAGAGAGATCTGTGAGGAGGAAGTAGGACAGCGGCACACCTGTACGACTATAAAGCATTCATTTCGTTTGGATCTTATTCCCGCACACATCTTATCATAAGTTCACTGGTCTATTGAGGCCGTCAACAAGCTACATCACACATGTTTCGAGGGCGTCACCTCATCCTCTTCCCTTCCATCTCTTGCACCATCTCCCACGTAGCCGTCCTGCCCTCTTGCCTCGTTGACTCTCCAATGCTCCTTTAAGCCTCCTTTGTTTCCAATTCTCACCTTCCCATTCATGTTTCGAGTAAACTTAAAACACGTCCCTCCCACCTTCCCCTTCCCCTGCCTTCCTCCCGTCAGTGATTCGGGCGACATTGTTGCATGGGTGTGGCCATCTGAGCTCGAGCCTTGTTCGAACCCTCATTCCAAATCTCATTTAAGCATTCCTGTATTTCCTCACCTTCCCCTTTCCCTGCCTTCCTCCTTTCAATGATTCGGGCAACATTATTGCATGGGCGTGGGTGTCAGAAACCGAATGGATGATTGACTATTGTGGGTTGGGGTATATAAATCTACCCCTAACTGATGTACCCCATATGACACGCATCACTAAAGGCTACAACATTTGACACACCCCTATAGCCTAAGTGAAGGGTGACAAGAAAAACCAAAAGTGTACGGTCACAAGACCAGTCACAAAGAATCCAAGCTCAGGGTGGATCACAACGTCACCACACAGTCCGAGCACAAGCAAAAGAGCCACAAGGCCAGTCCAAGAGTTCACAGAGGTATATGCAAAATGTAAAACAAAACAAGCAAAGTCTACACAAGACGAGAACCTGTGTCAACGAGACCTAACTGCACACAATACCTATGGTGATCATAAGGCGGAAGCGCCTTGGTGAAGATGTCGGCAGTGTTGGCCTCGGACTCCACAAAGTCCAAGTGAGCCAGTCTACGCCTCTGCAACTCTCGCAGAGGAAAGTCCCGATGTTGATGTGCTTCACTCTGCTCTCCAGTCGAGGCTCTCAACAGAGGAGAATCGGCGCCTCGTTGTCAGTAAATGTGGAAATAACTCTGGCAGCAGGAGCTTGACTGCGGGGAAGGCACGTGTGTGAGAGGGATTTCTGCATTCGTTCGTTCCTTAGTCGTTTCCTTGTGCGCACACTACTTGCTAGTTCACGGGGAGAATTGGTAAGAGTTCCATTAGGAAAACACAATAACAAGAGTTCATAATGATTGCAACAACATTGGCAACACAGACTACATCAGAGCTAGCTAGGCTACTGGTCGACCTCTAGCACAGCATGGTCGACCGCGATCCAGCGTAGCACCGCTCCAACGTTGCAGAGTAGCGGCTCGCCAACGTTGCAAGTCCACGGTGTGCCAACGCTGCTTTGAGAGTACGATGGCTTATGCTGGCTTTGCTAGCTTGCCTTTACTTTATTATGCATTATCTAGCTTAGCTTTGCTTAATTTTGCCTGCTTTTGCTAGATTTCCTATATTCGTTGCTTCTACTGTATTTATTATAGTTATAGGCACCGAACTAGGTTGAGTGCACCGAATTCTAGGCTTTTCGGTTGCCACCGAATTGCCTTCTACCGAATTCAGGAAGGGTCTGTTCGGGACGCTTCGCGACCCTCGGAACCTTCGCGTAACACCTGGTTACCTGCCTTGTGTCGAGCCTATATATAGCCTCGCTTTGTACCCAGGTGAAACATTCAAATCAAACTCTCTTTCCTGAGCTCGATCCTAGATCCTCACACTTGGTAATCAGAGCCTGTTTACACGCGAGTTTTTCGACCGCTAAATCCTAGCTTTTAAAACCGCGGGGGCGACGACGAAAGCGCCGATTTCGGTTACGTAAACCAATTCCGCGCTCTTTTCGAACGCTCCTCAGAAACATTTGGTAAAAAGGTTGGAATTTCAGCCGTCGGATCGATTCGAACATCAACGGCCTTGGGAATTTCGCCCAAAAAAGTTGGAATTTGGGGCGTCGGATCGAATTTCAGCTCAACGGCCGAGATCTGGCGCAAATTTGGGCTAAGGGAGAATTACGCGACTAGCAGAAACGGTGCTCAACATTTCTAAAGTCGATTTGAATCGCAGTAAGTCGACCAGCGGCCAGTTTTAAATTATTTCTGTCGCAAATCTTCCTGTAAATCGCCAAATGGAGGAAAATGGTGATAATTCCGTAC